AAGTTTATTTTGAAAAAGTCGTAATGGTAAGTATGGAATAAACAGTTTTCTTCATGATAAATGAATTTACTTAAAATAAGGGATCTATTAGTTATTTTGTAATTTTTTACTAATCTATACTTTTCGTATCAGTGATTAGTGTGATATTTTTACTAAGTTAGTGTAGCTCACCATTCTATTAACTATATCATATCAAGAGAACCAGGATCCAGATCCCGATCAGTAAGAAAGTTGTGAGTAGTTTACCTCCCGGACCCCTTCAAGAATTATTGGAAGTTAACTCCTAAAACATTTATCTATTTATTTAAATTTTTTTTATGAACCACTGTAGTAGAGACATTCTCGTAACTCTATTGAATATTCTAATTTACTGTGTAAGGAATGTAAACTCTAACATTATTATTCGCTTCTGTATTTAAAATTATAAATTCATTTTCTTTAAGATCTCGAGCTTTTACATATCATATATCCAAAATAGTGAAACATGATAGGATTGTTAACTTTATTAGTAAACACTAATAAACATAAATTAATTCGAACATTTTTTGAAGTATAGGAATTAATTGACATAAAATCGAGACAGTAAGCAAATCAAAGGAAAAAGTAGTACATGAACTGAAAATGTATTTAAGTCAACTAAAATATAATGCAAGTATTGTAATTAGTTTTATTTATTTTTAACAAGTTAAATATATTCCACAATTATGAATTAAGTTTGATAAAAACCAACGTGAAATGTAATTTGTTCCAAACTTGAACATTTAAATATTTAGTCAAATACTCAATAATGCATTTGTTTACTAATTAGTAAATTAGATATATTTTGTATACATGAAAATATAAAATATATCTTGAAAAGAGTATTAATATTTTACATTAACATCATAACATATATTCTTATGCTAAGAAAAAAAAAAAAAAAAAAAAAAACTTTGTTAAAATTTTTGTCAAATTAAACTGAAATTCCTTTTTGCATTAAACAAATAAGTTCAATCTTGAATTTAAATTAAATCAAAGTTCGAGGTAAGCCCATAATATGTAAAGCATTGTTATTAATGGGGGGATTAATTTGTTAACAATGATGGGTTAATAAATTAAGCAGTTGGGTTTGAAATTATGTAATGCTTTCTGACCAGCACAAACGCGTACGGATATGACTAATCTTTGCATTATTAAAGAAGTGGATTAAACTCGGTCGTATTGTACGGCTGAAGCTACATTTCTTAAAATATAACTTATAACCTAAAAATTATTATTATTTTTTTTTTTAAAAAAAAAGGAATATGTAAATGACGTAATCAACAAGAAAATTATTAGTTAATAAAAAAGATGTCTTACTTGCTACTTTTTTAAATTAAAAAAAAAATATGAGAGACAAAAAGAATTAAAAAGATGGAATTTATGAAAAATTAATTTTTTGAACATAAGTTTATATATTTCTATACATTAATAATAATATGATATAATTTATCTATCTAAAAAAATTATAATCGTTATTTTTTTTCAAATTATTTTATTATAAATTTCAATTATTATATTTATTAAAAAATTTAATTTATACATTTAATACATATATAAAACGTATTTTTAATTTTAAAATTATATTATAAGCAGTTTAATAATTTATTTTTAAGATACAAATCGGGTTGATCATGGCGATACATACACATGAATCAATCGGAATAATATTAAGTTTCAGAAGATGTAATGAACAATCGAAAGATTTTCAAAGTCAACAGCTTGTCTAAGTGGAAGAGGTGTTTTCGGACACGATTGACATGCAGAGTATACAGCAATGCAGCTGATGTTACCGCCATAAACGACATCAAGTTAAGCATCCAGAAATCCTGAAGATATATACAAAACACGTTATATAAATCTCAACCAAATAAGACTAAGAAGAAAATACATGATTCTTCCAACACCATATGCTTGGTGCACGTACGAGACAAGTAATTTCATAGGACTGATTCTTATCAGAGCTTGTGCTTGTATATTTACATCTTCAATCAGTTTATACATATAATATGTAAAGGGTAGATGCACTTGACATACTCACCCGTGGATGGGAGATTATTATGCCCATAACATAGGCAAGCAAATCTAGAGTAGATTGAAGAGAATTCTGAACACCTCCTACGACACAACGATCAGATTCAGGAACAAGATCCTGTCCAACGACGAAAAAAGAGAACAATCATTGACAAAAAAAATAGGAAAAGGGCAAAAGCTGTTAGCACACATTTAACAAGTATAAGATACAAACTCGTATTAAAAATCTTTTCCCTTAAGATTTAAGAAAGATACGAAAGGGGACTTGGTACTTTTTACGTGTTAAGAATTATGGTACACCTGCATTTGTTGAATGACTGCTAAGTCAAACACCCACAATCCAAGCCGAGATGCTGCTACTCCACCCATAAGCATATAGGCCGATACAAGATTATTTTTCACCCAGATTGAACAAACACAGACTAGGAGGCATGTCCACTGCACACAAACATCGATCATGTGAATTGGAACGAAAAGTACTCAGATACGTGTATAGTAGCTATAATAACCATGCTTCCACTAATTCTCACTATCATGATCATTTAGTCTTTTCTTGATATAGTAATTGCAAATCAAAGTATAAGCAGTCTTTTAAAAGCTAATTTATACCTGAGACCAGATGGACCAAAGTCCTGTTCTGAGTGTTGAAATACGAGATTGTAAGATCGGATACACCAGTGTAGCAGTAATCCCAGTTGTAGCGCTCATTCCACGTGCTATTCCTATAACAAAAGCAGGTATGTCTTCCCATTCTAAGGTAGCTGTCATCAAAGTCCCGAAACTGGTAGAAGAAATTAGCGAAAAACTTGTTTGTCAGAATCAAGATTTAGCAGAATCCTAAGTACAAGAAAGAAAAAACAGCTACACAAACAGATATATGTAAGGCACCACTAAGAACTCACACTTCCTAACGTCAATTTTTTACTCATCCATTTTGTTTTTACTTTGATTAACATAAGCTTTATTTGATTCATGAAGGAAAGGATAATGAGTAGTGAGTCACCTGAGGACTGTGAAATATAACAAGGCTAGTGCAGTTCCAGGGAGCACAGTTTCTTGGTGCAAGTAAACTGTCCATGCACTGATAAAAGGAGCTTTCGAGATCCACTCAATTATTTTCGATTCCGAGCTGCTTTCTTCATGAGAAAGAAGGTTTTCTGTCTCGTGTGGCTCGTTTGTATTGGCATGAATTCTTGAGATCTTCCTCTTGCTGCTTTCTTCTAAAGCTGGAATACCCTTATATACAGACATAAAAAGCCAATATTCTACCCAGACAGTAATAGTAGTCCAGAGGGCAAGAACCATGGCAGATGCTTTTAGTGATACAAAACTGATAATAAAGCCAGCAACAACAGGAGCAAGTAATTTGCAGGTTA